TGGACAGCAAAATTAACCAAAGTGTCCAGGAATGCTCACCTTGCCTCTCAGGACAACTGTAAGACAGCAGTTCCACTTCTCCCTTGGAATGTTTAAATATTTACTCACTTGAACTGTCCTCTTCCAGTCTACCTAGCCCTTCAGGATGACTAAGTTGTGAAGAGAAGTAACTCAATACCTAAAAAAAAAAGTCAAGCTATGGGGCAATCTTTAGTAACAATGAAATCCCAGTTAAGCATCTAGAACATTAACTGTTAACTTCCTTGAGGCATTAACCTTACCACACAGCTAAGGATGCCTGTCTAGGAAAAGATAGCGCCTAAGAAATTTAAGGTACTGAACACTGGCTTTTAGTTAGAAATAGCTTTGAGTGCGACAGAAAAAAAGTCCAGGTTAGTTAGGTCCTCAGCCTTTAGGCTCAGAATTGAAGACAGTTATTGCTATGAAGTGGAAACAATATTCTCTAATAGGTTAAGTTCACACTCCTGGTCATGAATTTGCAATATATACAGATCAAAATGAATTCCTTTTCTCTGGAGGCTAACCAGGAACACAGGACTCCAGGAATTGGAACAATCTTGAGCTCTCCATTCTCCTGGGTAAAGACACAACAGCCCACAGACGAGGGAACATCATACTTAAACAGTGGGGATTCAGAAACAAGCTGGCAAGCCTCATCACATTTTTGAATTGGATTTCTTCCTAATTTCCATGTTCTGGTGTACCCCTTAACCTTGCATGATTGCTCACCCCACTCACAACTTTCTGATACCTATCTCCTCTTCCTGTCTCCTGATGCCTTTTTTCCCCCCCCTATTCTCTGTCTACTTATGTCATAACTAGCAGGATTGCAGCACATACTACAAGGGAAAGGTTAGTCCTCAGTGTCCTAAGCCATGAAAAAGAGAAAGCAATTTTCTCCTCATGTGGAGACAGGAAAAGATTTTGGAGACAATAGGAATTTTACCCTTATGAACCCTGACTTACTTCCTGGATTGGCAATACATCAGGAAATCTCAACAGAGCTAGGAACACTAATCCATCCCCATGCTGACCCTACTCATGGCAGCACAGGAACTGGTGTGGGGGTGAGGTTTCTGATTTAAGAGACTATTTTTTGGTCTGAACAGCCTCTTACCAACTTCTCTGGACGACAGTTGAGCTCAAACCCACTTACCTCTCCTTTCAGGAGGAGTCAGGGTACATGAAGCTCAACCCTTTTGCTGGCCTGGCACCGTATTACTTTTGTACAGCTGTTTTTCTGCTTTTAAAAATCACATGTTATGGTTTCCCCCAACTCTTTATTCTCTAGTTCCTAGTCTAGTGTTTTGAAGCACCTCCTTGAAACCTGAGAACTTTTTTTTTTTTTTTGGGTGATTTATAGGTCTACAGAGATTCTGAGACAAAGAACCCTTAGGATAAAGTGGAGGAAAAATGCCCTCTATACATAATTAAATCTGCTCAAAGGGTACAGATTAAGAAGTAAATGCAATGGAGCAAAAGTGGTATAGTAACAGGAAATATTTAATTTTCCAATCTCCATTTTCCATTTTTATAAACTGAAAGAAAAAATTTAATATATTACAAAATATCTGTACATAGACAAGGTAAACCCGATAGGGGGCAAAAACAAGAGAGAGAAAGGAACATAGTGTCAGAAACCTAAATCAGGGAGGATGAGGTGGCAACTGACACTTTTCTGATGCAGCATTCTCTCTCAAAACCTGCTGGTAACCATTTTAGTACTGTAACTATATATGTATATTATACACACATACACACACACACACACACACACATACACAAAGTGGTTGGATGATGCCTATGGCATAAATTAACAGAAGTCCTACTTACAAATCTGTGCTAACTGCCCTGCTTTTAAACATCTAGATCTGATGTTTTCAAATCCTTATCATTCCTATGGACAGTTGAAGAAAAAAACTAAGGAAACTGGGTCAAGCAAATTTGTTTTCTAAACCACAAAAATGGTCATGGTCAAACTAGTTTTGCCTCTCATTCAGGAAGCGAATCAGATTTCTCATCTGTTCAAAATAATGTATTTAATGGACTTAATATCTCCCATGGTACAATAATTAAAACAAAACCAAAGCCACATTTGAATATAATTAATTGGGTTGGTAATTTTCTGATAGTCAAGTAGAAATTCTGCCAAAACTTTACTTCCATCACATTTATAGATAACATAACTGAAAATTAACAAATACCTTTTCTTCCTCCCCAGATTCCAGGATATTTAAATGAATTTCTTTGTCCCTCTGCTTTTAGAAATAGTTATCAAACTTTTTTCCTCTTTAAAGATTAGACTCCCAAAATAGGGTGGGGTGAGATGGGATTACACACACACACACACACACACACACACACTCTCACACACACACTCACCCCCTTCCCTAGTAGTAGGGATGGGGGAATGGAGACTTAAGTATATTATTTAGAATATTTGGCATAATTAAAAATAAGGGTTGGGGAGGGAAAAACATTATTGATGACTGCTGATAACCAAAATACAATCAAAATATGTGGAGGTTTTATTCATATTTGTTAGGAAACCAATTTTTTTTCACTGGATACTTTCGAAAGTATCCCAGGCTTAAATTCTTTAATAAAAAATGGGAGAGTGGGGCCCAATGCCTCAAATTCAAATATTCTAAGATACAAAGGCCCATGTCTGAAGACTAAGTAGTCAACAGACAAAAGGTTCAGATGAACTTTAATGTAATTTACCAATAGCATGTCAGTGAGCCTAGCAAATCTAATTGGACACACTGGTATAAAAAGCCATCAATGCCAAAATGGCCAGAAGGTTCTTTTTAATCAATGTTTGGCCCTGAGGGCAAGGCCAGACCAAAACCCAGAGAATAATAAAGAAATACACACACCGGATATATGCCTATTTCAGTAACAGGGGAAAATAGTCTTCACGTAAGTATCAGAAGAGGATTCTTCTTTCATTTCTTTAAAGGTTTTTTTTTTTTATTAGTGCACCTTTCTTACAAGTAGTGTTTATTTTTTAATATAAGAACTTGGCATTGGAACATGAAACTTGTGTTCTGAAAACTATTCTCCAAGATGCTGAAGCATATTTGCTGTTTCTTCATAAAAGGGGGCTAACCTATGTTTCTCAAAAGGTCTAAGTCTGTGCAGATAATTTATATAAATGTGTATGTTTTTAAAACACATTATATGCTGGTACTCACATAGAAATGGAAGCCAGAATGAGAAGCCTCCCAAGTTATCCCACCCTGAAAGCCTTTCCCTCTTCCATTTCCTGTTTATAATAAGGCAAAATTCTTGCCATGAAGTCATAATTTAACCCCTTTTACTAAAACCAAAATCAAATCTCTCTGGAGGAAAATCCCTAAAAGAATTGGCAGAGTATACAGGCTGAAATGTGTATATGTCAATACTGTTCTTTCTCATGGTCTGCTCTTTTAAAATTATTTTTTAAAAAAGGTCTCAGGTAGTGATACATCTTCAGAAAAATATCCACCCTAAACTAAGTTACATTTCCATGTATTTTCAGGACTTTTTTTCTCTTTGACAATATTACAATGCTCTGTTTCAAAGGCTTTTTTGACATAAAAATATATGTGTAAACAGTATGCTAACTGCTCTTACTAGCCCTCTAGGTATGGAGGCATCATCTCTAACCCTAGCTCAGCAGCAATGCCCTAGGCTGTCTATAAATCAACTTCGCCATCAGAACATGGTTTAAAAAAAAACAAAAACCCATTTCAGAATTGAAGAGTTACAGAGAACAATATAGGAGTTTGAATTTCCTTTCCTTTATTTCAAAAAAAGTAAAGATTTATCCCAGGTTCTTGGGCATCTCAACAATTAATTTTTTCCAAACAAATGCCTCAAAAAGAGAGACAGAGAGAGAGAAAGAGAAAGTCTATAAGGCTGGGGTAAAAAAGGGAAGAGATAGGGTAAAGTCTACCTACTTGCCCAAGAATGCCAATTTCTACAACCTGCTTCACGTGCAGGGAGAGGGGGCATGTCTTTTCTCAAAGTGAAACAAACTTTAAGGATGAGCAATTTATTTGGAAAAAAGGTATGTTCAAGATGCTCAATGGGGGACAAAAAGAGTTCATTTTCACTTGAAAGCAAAAATGTGAGATGGTGGAGAAAAAGGAAACATTTATTTAAATCTGCCAGTCACTCTGTTTCCCTTATAGCAAAAGCCTAAGAGCAGCTCAAATTCTGTGAACATTATTCTCTTAAAAAACAACAACAAAAAAACACAACCACCTAAATTCAAAAATAAGAAACCATTAAAAAAAACAACCCAAAACTTTAAAACCTAAACAGACTCTCTCCTGAGCCATCTCAAAATTCAAACTGTTCTCTTTTTCTTCTGCTCAAGAAGTGCAGGCAATGAACTAATAAAACATTTACTTTTCAGTTTAATGACCCTCTCCACATTCTCTACTTATATGTACTAGGTAGAGTTGAAGTAAATGTTCTAGCTATAGCCCATCCCATCCAGGGGGAACTGGTGCCAACATCACTATTTTATAAGTCGCCTGCTAGTAGCAAGTGAGCAAGGAATACAACAGACAGCTTTGCAGTAGCCAAATGCAGATGATTACCTCGCTCTGGCAAATGATTTCATTAAAGGTTCAGAGGACTGGATGGAAGGATGGATAGGGAAGGAATCTTTGAAGACAATGAAGTCTCTGGGTTAGTAAGGAACTCCTCTCCCTCTTCCCCCTCTTGGAGGGACTCTGGTAGGCCCCCGATAGAGCTTTCCATAAGCAGAAGATTGAGCTGGGGCCCCCCAGTTAAGGCCTGCTCCTGAGCTGCTGGCCCCAGTGGTTCCTGGCCCCAGCTCCCCATAGTTTTGCAATTTGGTCTCTGCATGTACCACAGAGTTGCTGCTTCCCTCAGCCTTCAGGAATGGTTGCCCGACCACTGAGTGTAATGCTAAGGGGACCCTGGCAAAACGGAGGTCCTGGTCACCTGGGAACTGCACTGACCCTGTGCCCTGGTAACTGCTGGACTCCCCAAGGTGGCTCACAGAGCCTGAGAAGGTCCTGTTCTTCACCAGGGTCTGGGCCAAGGATTCTGTCAAGGCTGGACCAGAGTTGCGTTCATCAGTGTCAGTGGCACTGAACCCTGTTTCAGGCCCATCAGTGTTTCCATAAGTCCTGTTGGGATGGGGTCGGGTGGAGTAATCCATTGGTCTCAAGGCCTGGTGCTCATGTGGCAGGTGGCCAGGAGGCTCTGCTTCAGGCTGGGATAAAAGTTGCAGCAAGGCGGCTGTCACGGCTGGGTTCAACTCCTGGGGGGCGCTGGAAAGATCGCCTTCAACCAGAGGGGGTGGAGGTGGCGGCGGTGGAGGTCCGGGGGGCTCAGGGGGCCTCTTCTCTGGTGGAAGAATGTGAGGAGGACATGCTGTGGAAGGGTTACTTCTTTTAAACACCATCTTAAAAATCACATGTGATTATAAGCACGAACACACACACACACACTCTGACCAACATAAACAAATATCAATACAAGTAACCAAATATATATATATAAAGAATAAAACCTTGGAATCAGGAAATGGCAATTTATAAATAAAATCAAGTGATTACGTAAAACAGTTGCATTCTGGATCTAACAGCTGGTGTAAAATCATATGTTTCAAATGACTGCCCTGATTTTTGTCTGAGATTTCCTCCAATTTCTTTCTTAAGGAATTGTTCTAATATGTAGGCTGCTGGCAGCCTCCCCGCCCCTTTTTTGCTGTTGGAGCAAAATATTAATGAAAATAAAGTAGAGAGAAGGAAGATGAGAAGGAACAATACATAAGCTGTGGTCACATTTCTAGGACATAATCTTGCTGTACAAAAGGAGACCTTATATGGACTTAGCTAACACATTTTACAGAACAATTGATGATATTAAGGTTAACACCTGAAATAGAACTTTAAGAATATACAGGAGAGATGAAATGAAGTAAAAACCTTTCATTGTTGTCATGTATAAACATACACTTGCTTCTCCAAACTTCAGTCCCTTTTCCTCATAATCACATTCTGAAAAAAAGGATATTAACCACCATACTGTCTTGTCATTCAGTTTCCTATGTTAGAGTGATTATAAAAAACCACAATACAATATCGTGCAGAATAGGCTATTGATAAACATCTGTTTATCTTGGAGACAATGACAAGAGATGTGTATTTATAAATGTATTGAACTAATACTACACTCTGTCTTTCCAAAGATCTTACTAGAACTACTCCCTATTTTGTCCCCCACTGCTGGATTAATTTGCGTAACCATGGCAATCACTATTTGATAATGAACTTCTGTCAAGGAAGAAGTAGAGATGTAAAATGGCATGAGTTTGACGATATACAAAATCAAGTACAGCCAGAATGTGCCTTTAGAGAATTGGGAGTCATCCTGCTGAAGAAAAGGTTTAAAGTTCTGGGATACCTTCCAAATGACTGATTTTTGTGTTCCCTATGGAAGTATATTTTTAAATGTCCATATAGTCAATTTTTTATTATCTGAGCTAGCAATATAGTCATTACTCAAGCAAGCCAAAAATAGTTTTGTTATAATTAGGCATTTTGGTAGCATATTTACCACAATTATATTTTGTAAAGACGATCAGTAAAGTAAGAATACCCTTAGCGTGCAGATGAAAGTACTCTGAAAACACTATAAAACTGTTGTGCAGTGGGAGGATAAGGCCAGGTGCTATATATATGTAACATACAAGTAGGGTGAACAACAGTCCTAATTTGCCTGGGACTGAGGGGGTTCCCAGGTTGCTAACTTTCAGTTTTAAAACCAGGACAGTAAAAGGTCATCCTATATACAGGACCCACTCAAATTACTTGTTAATAAACTGACTGGTTGACAAGGTGGTAGGGAAAACCGAATTAAAAGACAAAAAATTAGCTATGGAAAACTCACAACCTGAAAAGCAGACATCCTGAAAAAGGAGAGCTAACCAGACTACAAACATCTACAGATTTCAGAGCTTTTTGCAGTCAACACTACATATCTCATTACATAAGAACATCATAGTACTATTTATTTTTAGAAGTATTTTTGGACTATTCATGACACGGACACCAGGTTTTTTCCAATACTGAGGACAAACAACTTTATAAATGCCTAACTGCAGAAGTAAACAAAGCTAAACTTACACCCTTTCAGCTATACTACTTTTCATACTTAAACTTTGCCTTTTATGTAAATAGCCTATTTGTGTTTCAACAGAACTAATTCTTGAGCTGAAATTCTTTCACATGTAAGAGAGGAGGAAAACTATTTCAAAATAGCAAAGGCAGATGGGTTGTAAAGAACTATTAAAGGTTAACAAAACTTAAGAGAATTAAAAATAAAGATCACATTAAAAAAAATTCCGCTGTAAGATTCAAAGTGTTAACAATATTGCCAATCCTTAATAGTCTATACTAATGGCAGGAGGTATTAACGAAATATACAAACAATTTAAAATCATTAGATTTCAACCACAACCCTTTCGCAACAAGTATAGAGTAGCTAAATAGTAGCCAAAGTGATAGATTTCTACTTTCTCTGGCTTATTCAGTCTGCCCTCTGGTGGAAGTGCTAATGAACAGTAAAATGGCCAAATGAGAGGTAGCAGGGGAGAAACAAGAATAGGAGAGACATAGAAGACACACCAACTGGATAATCCAAAAATGACTATAGTAATTAGGAATGGCATTTTTATTCTCCTCTGAAAAGTAAATCAACAATTTCTGGCCATGAGCCAGGCCTTAATTTTAGTTTGATTTCATCATTTGGCCGATAGCTTGTTGGCTCCATTATTGGGTGAATTTCTTTTGATCACTATGCTATTTAATCTGAACCACTTCTTTCAGGTATTTTGATTATAGCAGTTTTTTGGGGGGCGGAAGGCTGGAAGTGGGTAGTGGTGAGGGGGAGGAGGGTATAAGAGATGAGACAAAGAGGCCTGCTTTAATTCTACATTTGCTTTCTCTGTTATTCCATGTCCCAGAGTCTCTTAAATACAACTGGAATTGTTATGACAGAATAGCAAAATAAGTTAAGAAACACATTAAAAAGAAACACATTAAGAAAGTACAGGAATTCTAGTTCTGCCTCTGCCAATAATATGATTCCAGCAGTGAGACCATAAGCAGGCTTACTTAAACTCCCTGGACTGCAGTTTCCCTATCTATGAAGTAAGGGGGTTCATTTTATTTATGTCACCTTCCAGCTTTAAAAAACTTTACCATGATAAATAGCTTATAATTTTGACCCCATACCAGTGGAAACAGGCATATAATCTCTGAACCATCCCATATGAAATGTAAATAGCATTCTACAAGTTGAAGGTTAGTGTACCCCATCAACCTTACACCGCTTCTCATTCCCAATTCATGGGGTCTTCATGGACAGCCAAGATTTCCAAGGAGTTGAAAACACTTTTCAGATAAGCAAAGATTTTACAAGACTGTGAATCAGAATTGATCAGAAAATTTACACATCTTTTCTCTCTAATAAATTGCATGCTGTGGTCATGTGAAATCAAGGTATAACATATTTCTTCTTTTCAGATTAAAAAAAAATAGTGCTCAATTCCTAATCTGGGGTCCATTTAATTATCTCTTTCAGGGACACAGGTTTAAAGGAATCATTTTTATATCCTATTTTTTGGAAAAGAAATGTATGGTGTTAATTATCTACTTGGCAATCTTCCAAAATTATTCTTCAGGAGATTAACAATGATATTTTATTAGAGCTTTCTTGACCGTATCTTTCCATCAAGACTCTGATAACCAGCATCCACTATACTAGAGTACGGACTGTACAATCTGATAATGGTTTGTTTGGAAGGCAGATTTTCAAGTACTAGTACTAGTTGGCCACCACACACAGTGGATCAAGATGCATCACTAGCTATGGCTGTGGTTTCCTTGAGTGAGAATACAGGGACTTTACTTACCTACCTCCTAGGAAACGGAAAAACAATCAGTATATGAAAGGTGATTTGAGAAGCTTTCAGACTTAAATAAAAGAAGCTGGGCAAGAAATACATCACTTGGTGCTATGTTCTCCTGGAGACTAGGTTACAGAAAAACTGAAACCGAGGCCACTGATGTGAAAAAGAAAATGTTAAAGATTTTTAAGAGGATCAACAGCACCTGAGCTCAATGAGATTCATGACCGGTCTGTTTACCTGCTGCCTCCTCCTGTGGTATTGTGGGAGTTCTTCGGGGTCCCTGTGGCCCACTGTTCTTGTCACTGCTGTTTTCCTCCAGGCTGCCTGCTGGCTCCTGGGTTTTCATCAGTTGACTCAAGAGAACTGCCAACATATTCTGCATGTCAGCTGGTGTGCTTGAAGCTTCAGGGGTTGTCTGTTCTGCTGAAGGTTGGACCACTGGGGCAGGGGGTGCTTCCTTCAAAGAATCCTCTGGGGCTATAGGCTCTGAGTCCTGCTGCTGGGAAGTGGCTTCTGTTAGGGCACTGATAGATTGGTTCAGGGCCTCCAGCTGCTGCTGTATCTCTGGATTGGAGTGGATGTTAAGCAGCTGTGCCATCTGAGGAATGCTCAGGTCGGTTTGGCTCTGCAGCAGGTTCAATAACACTGCCAATTCACTTTGATTCAACTGCTGTGTGATGTCACCGAGGCCTGTGGAGAGACAGTGGAGCCAATAGAAGAGGATGAGGCAGGGCAAGGACCTTTGCCTTCTTCAGCTGGCAATAGCAACTTATAATATCCAATGAACGAAGTTTTATTTTGAATGTCTCATTTTTCATGCCTCAAAACTGTCATGACACATTTGTTATTCTTTATATTTTCACTTAAAGACACAGGGACTAATTAAAACATTTCTATATTGTGAGTAAAAGTGATTTCATTTTATCTATATTCTTCAAGGTCAGTGATTTTCAATCCTTACTATACATCAGAATACATGAGATTTTAAAATTCAGAAGCCTCAGGTCCCATCCCTAGAGATCTGGCAACTGTTAGGGGGTGTTCCTGTTTAAAGCTTCTTAGATGATTCTAATGTGCAGCCAGCATTGAAAACCACACTTGTAGGTGGACAAGGAAGGAAAAGTGAGCCAAGGAAAGAATAGCTGTAGTTCAGAAAAAATGGTTCTACCAAAGGAGAACTACATTATTATTTTTTCCTATTAAGTCGTACGAGCTGTTTATATATTCTGGAGATCAAGCCTTTGTCAGTTTCATCTTTTGCAAGTATTTTCTCCCATTCCGTAGGTTGTTGTTTTGTTTTGCTTATGGTTTCCTTTGATGTGCAAAAGCCTGTAAGTTTAATTAGGTCGTATTTGTTTATTTTTGCTTTTATTTCTATTTCTTGGGTAGACTGCCCTAGGAGAACATTGCTGATATGTATGTGAGATAATGTTTTGCCTGTATTTTCTTCTAGGAGGTTTACTGTGTCTTGTCTTATGTTTAAGTCTTTAATCCATACTTTATTATTTATAATAATTAAGTATTGTAGTTTTGAATATATTTAGATCAAATAACAGTCTACAGAACTAACTACATTCAGCAACTGTGATTTAACATGATTAAATTCTAAGAAGGTCTTATCAAATCTAACATAAACAGGGCTCCAAATTATGTGTTAGGGAGCCATGGGTAAACTAACCTTAAATTCTGCTTACCTAACTCACTGATTTATACCACACGTCGAATTGAGATATGGTATTCAGGAAGAAAAAATGATCAATTGTAAATTTCCAAGACCATGTGTACAAAACTGGGTTTATCTCCTTCTCCCTATAATAAGGACACTAACTTCTTTATTATACTTTTTTTTTCTTTTGGTTGGGGGAGGTAATTAGGTTTGTTTGTTTGTTTATTTATCCTTAGAGGAGGTACTGGGGATTGAACCCAGGACCTCATGCATGCTAAGCATGCACTCTACCACTTGAGCTATACCTCCCCCTATAACCTCTTTATTAACACTTCAATGGCTAAAAACTAAAACATACACACAAATCCTTGCAATTGACCTTCAAAACCTGCCAAGTGCTTAACAAAAGCACAAAGGCTCATGGAGCCAGCACTGACCTATTGCATCCCCAGTCCCAGGTTCCACCTTGCCAGGAGCAGGCTGAGGTGGTGCTGGGCTGCTATTCTTCACAGGCTCAGCACTTGTCCCTGAGATAGTTTCTTTTCGAGAGGCTTTCGGTGGAGGTGGCTCTTCTACCAAAACACCACTTTGTCGCTGCCGTCGCCGTTTCTTACTCCATAATTCATGGCAATCTTGCCAGTGGGGGAGGCTGAAAAAAGACAAAGCAAAGAGGAAATGTGTGGGAATGTGGTAGTGAGTGCATGGAGGAATAAAGATTAAAATGGGAAGGCAAAGAACAGAGGGAAATGGAAAGGATAAGGAAAATATAAAAATAACCAGAAAAGTTAGTAAACAGATAGCAGCAGTGAAATAGAATCATGGCATATGGTAGCTTCAGAAAATAAGTCCAAAAGCCCAAAGGATTTCTACCTACAATGAGAAAGAAGGATCTTGCTAATACCAAAGAAACACCTGCTATATAAATGCCCATATTCCAGTCAAATAGTTAAGTTTTATAACCATTCTTGCTTGCCATAATAAGAATAAGGGAGACCTTTATTGGTCAAAATTCAGTTGGGAATAAACAGGACAGAGATGACTGCCTTGTTAATATCCACAAAAAGTCCAGGCAAGGTGGTAATTTAAATCTTGACGCCACACAAGTATATCATGATTTAATCACCTCTGTGTAAAATCAATTTATGTGTTACGTGGTCTGTGAGGACCAAAAGACTGGTTCTTTTTCTTTCTGCCCACTGAATTTCCTTGACTGAATATTTTCATTTGTGGGGTTTATCAGTATATTTAATATATTTACAGATACTCCTATACTCAATAATGTATATAATTCCAACTAGGTCAATCTTACTATAATAAAGATTACCACACCCAAAATTTCTCTATTAACAAGAGTTTCCAATTTTCACTAAAAGCTTATGTATTTCCAGCCACATTCAATATATCAAAATTCAAATACAACAAATGAATTTAGACATTTCTTTGGAATAATCAGATCTGTAGTTACTACCTGTTCATGCACTAACATTCCATGCATTGAAGATACATAGTGTTTCTCTAAGAAAGAAATGCCCCCAAAGTCTGATACGCTGTCAGTGACAGTCAAAGACTTCTTATCTGTCAGAATGTGAGATATGAATATAGAACCTCTGAGGATCCTATACAATACAGGAAATTTGTAAGATTCTGATGGAAGAAAGACACATACAAAGACTATGTTTTCTATATCAAAATTTAGGACAAATGGCCTGGTAAAGAGACAAACTATTTAAAATTAGGATTGCCCTTGCAAGTGGGATATGCATGGTCACCACGGGGAATTCAAGAAGATGAAATGGTTAAGAGCAAAAACTATAAGGAATACTTTCACAGAAGCAATATGCTGGGGATCCACGGATAAAAGAAGATAGCTTGAGTCCATTTAGAGCAAATATCATACCTAAATCTAATCCTTGTTTAAAAAGAAAACATAAAGCAATAAAGCTCTTATCAACCATAATACTCAAAGACATCTCTCTATTTGGTACTTAGCCATTGTAGTTCCTTTTAAAAAACCTATTATTTTGAGTTTCTCATATCCTGAGGCCTAGGGGAGGTCTGGGGTCACTACATGGCCACCAGCACTTACTCTGGAGGATCCATTTTGCTGAGCTCAACATCTTTAAGGAAGTCACTCTGTAGGGTCTGCTCGGCTGTGCAACGCTTGCTAGGATCTAGTGTCAGCATGTGGTCCAGTAAATCAAGTGCTGCTGAAGGAATGCTGTGGAAAGGAAGAGAGAAAGAACAAGTTCACAATGACCCACAGGCTCAAACCTGTAACCTTGTGTCCAAAGTCTCTCAATTTCCAGCTTCATGTAAAACTATGGGAAGGGAGTTGCATCCTGGCTAGACAAGCAAGCAAATTTGCTTCTACACAAGATTTTAAAAATGCAATAAAAATACAGATAGAAAACAAGAAGCCAGCCATTGCTCTTTTTGTCTTAGGAAGATCAAAAAGACTATGAGAAAACACATATATTGTTCAAAATAAAATGGTTTCCTATCATCTAAGGCCTTCGTAAGAGAAAATTACAAAAGGGCTACGATAAAACTCACACTGCTCAAAAATAAAGTGTTTTCCTATGATGTGCTGTCATAATAAATTGGAACAGTATTAACTCCCTATGACAGGAAAAGTCAAGCCTAACAACAGCCAAACACAGAAATTAGATGTACATATTTGTCAAACTCACAAAGAGAATTCTTCTCGTAGGCGCCTTCTATATTGCTTCTTCGGTTTCATTGTATTGAAGTAGGGCAGCTTGATAACATCAGGCCACACAGCTGGACAAGGGCTACCACAGAGTCGACTGAAAACAAAGCAAAAAGTAAGAACAAGGAAGTGAGTGAATCAGCATCATAAAGACCAGAGATTCTAGAAGCAGAAATTATTACCTCCTGAGGTCTAGGGAATCTTGACTTATTAAATTAGAAGGCATGCAGAAAGGTAAAACCTGACCTCACTGCTGTAAGGACGGAAGGAATAGGACAGAAAAAATGGTTACAAGATAGTGAAGAGAAAATACTGGCACAGTAGTCCAAAATGATCCATATATTTGGTTTTGCGAAACATGTTTTTAATCTTCCACAAAGGTGTTCATTATCAATTTTGTTCTGATCAATTAGCATTAATTTCAAAGAGTTCAGCTAGTCCTATAATGTCCTAAAGGGAAAACTGGCAGAAGAGAGCCTAAGACTAGAATTCTGATGAAAAACTGAGTTTACCGCATAGTAAACAGAGCTATATACCACCTTTTAAAACGTCTACATTAGCCTGTTGTATTCTTCCCTTTAACCATATTGAAAACAAAACAAAACCCAATTCCATCCCAACCCCAGACCTTCCCCAAATCCTCTATTATAGGCTCTTTTATAAATATGTTTACATGCTATATCACTTACTAAATTCTGAGCTCTTTGAAGGCAGAGACCTATCTTATTTATATCTGAATCCTGAAGTTTGACAGAGAAAGGAATTTGTTATAGACAGGCTGAATAAATTTGATCTTAATCTAACCTAAGAAAGAACAGAACAGCAATCCTGAAACAGCATGCTTTTTAAAAAAATTTTCTTTAAAAATATTTTGGAGGAGGGAGTTAATTAGGTTGTATTTATTTATTTATTTAATTTTTTTTTTAAATGACAGCACTAGGGGTTGAACCCAGAACCTCACATATGCCAGGCATGCATTCTACCTACTGACCTATGCCCTCCCCCTGAAAGTGGCATGCTTTTATATGAAGAACTAATAAACACTGTATAGCACAGGGAAATATACACAAAATGCTATGATAAATCACAGAGAAAAAAAATGTGACAATGAGTGTGTATATGTCCATGAATGACTGAAAAATTGTGCTGAACACTGGAATTTGACACAACATTGTAAAATGATTATAAATCAATAAAAAATGTTAAAAAAAAAAAAAAGAAGAAGAAGAGCAGGAACACATTATCTGAGCCGAGGAACCCACTACCAGGGCACTGCAGGCAAGTAGGACCTAGTTTATAAGTTCCTGGCCCCACCTACTGGGGTTTCTAAAAATTGAAGTTGAGTGGTATGGGGTTGAAGGACTCTCCCCCACTAAAATTATGAGGTCAATATGAGATGTCTTCTGGAAACACCGTTTTACTTTTAAAATAAAATAAAAAAAAATTCCTACAAGAACTAATTAAAAATATGCAAAGAAAGACCTAAGAAGTAGGTGGAATACAACTTCTTTCCATATATAGCCCATGACAAAATACATGATAAACCTGACTGAGTGAAGAGAAACTTACTTGGACATAAGGAGCATAAAGTCATTTAGTAGAATGATTGAAATGTTAGAAATTAGAGGACAAGATTACCTATCTCACCTGGGCATTCAGAGCACATGCATAGATGTACCTGATCAGTTCTAGCTGAGCCAGTTCCAGATTGGCTTGAAAAATAGGCTTCTTTGTGAACAGTTCCCCAAGGATGCATCTACAAAGAGTAAAATTGAGAGGTCAGGAGAGAAATCCCTGGAGTCAAATTAAAGTGTGTCTCAATAAACTTTTACAGTATATCAGGATGCGTGGTATACCATGTTTTAAATAAGCTCCAAAACTCAGTGCCTGAGTTTCATAAAAGAAAATATTTCCTGCAGTGGAAATAGTATAAAGGATTTAAATGTGCTGGTAGATCAAACTCTTGCTACCTATTAAGGACAGCCTATAAGCTGAGGAAAGGAGTCAAGAGTCCTTTTCTATCAATTCCACTGTAAATTAAGGAAATAATTAAATACTAAAAAAACCCACACTTCAATTTTACAAAGATGTTCAGCAGTTTCAATAAAGAGACTATTAGGTTTTTCATTCATCTGCTCTACAGAATGTGCATTGTATTACAGCCTTCTTGGCAATGTATTTGTAAAGAAAAGTTTATTGTCATCATCCAGGATCAGTTTCAACAGGACTTTCAAATATATTATGCTGAAACAAACTTAACCATTTAAAAAAAGGCCTTTCAAAGCTATACTGGCATATTTACATAGTCTCCAAATATCGCTCCACAAATTACTAATTACAGAGGAAAACTGGTAACTATTTAAGTGAGGAGAAAAGACAACATTTTAAACAAGTGACCAAAATTAACATCATCATAAGAGGCAAACAGGGTTCATGTAAGTACAAATGTGATACCTTAAAAAGAACACTTACGAAATTAAAAAAAAAAAGACCATAAATTCTGCCACTTGTAACAACATGAATGGACCTAGAGGGTATTATGCTTAGTGAAATAACTCAGGCAGAGAAAGACAAATACTGTAATGTTATCACTTATATGTGGAATCTAAAAAATAAAATGAATGAATATAACAAAATAGAAACAGACTCATAGATAAAGAGAAAAAACTAGTGGTTACCAGAGGAGAGAGGGAAGGGGGGAGCAGTGAAATAGGGGTAGGGGATTAAGCAGTACAAACTACTATGCATAAAATACATAAGCTACAAGGATACATTTTACAGCACAGGGAATACAGTCAATCTTTTATAATAACTTTAAATGGAGTATAATCTACAAAAATTCTGAATCACTATGTTGCACCCCTGAAACTAAAATACTGTAAATCAACTATACTTTAAAAAGAATACCTATGGAATATTCCAGCCAAAATCAAAACAAATAAAGGCTAAGGAACTGTCCCAGATTAAAGACTGACAACTAAATGTAATATTTGACACTGGATTGCATGCTCTATTGGGTGAGGTATTGTTTCTAGGACATTATGAGGGTACTGACAAAATTACAGTATGAAATATAGGTCAAAGTACTCTATTAAATATAGTGTATCAATGTTAAATCTCCTGAATTTGATAATTATACTGTGATTATATTAAAGAGGATCTTTGTTCTTAGGAAACGTACATTAACTATTAAGAGGGAAAGGAGCATGATATACATAACTACTTTCAAATAGTTCTGGAAAAAGATATGGTGTATGTATATATAAACACAAACATTTTAATCTATGTGCATACTGTATATTGTATTATATATGTACACATATATTATATATACACATACCATATAATATACACACACATGAATGTAAAAGCAAACATGGCAAAGTGTTAAAAATTAGTGGATCTAACGTGAATGATCTCAAAATAATTATGCTGAGTAAAACATGCCAGAGGAAAACAGAGCATATACAGTATGATTCCATTTACATAAAATTCTAGAAATGAAAATCAGTCTATAGTGATAGACAGCACAACAGTGGTTGCCTGGAGTGGTATGGTGTGGACAGGAGAGAGGGATTACAAAGGTACACATGGCAACTTTTGGAGGGGACCATTATCTTGGTTGTGGTGATGATTTCAATGGTATATACAATATGTCAAAATTTAAATTATACAACTTAAATATACAGTTTATTGTAAACCTCAAGTGAAAAATAAAAAAAAATTAGTGAATTTGCATAAAGGCTATATTAAAGTTCTTTGTACTATTCTAGTACCTTTTCTGTACATTTGAAATTATTTCAAAATAAATTTAAAAATTATATGAATATTCTATACTTTTTTGTGTGTCTGAAGTCCTTCCTTTTTTAACAAATAGGGAAAGAAAAAAATGGACTATGAATCTCTTCTCTGGTCTGTGCTTTGAAATAAGATTTATTTACAAATGCTCCCTAAACCAACATTTATACTCATCGTTCTGCATCTGTAGGTTCTGTATCCACAGATTAAGCCAGCCACGAATTGAAAATATTCAGAAAAAAAATTCCAGAAAGTCCAAAAGGCAAAACTTAAAATTTACCATACTGGCAACTATTTACACAGGATTTACATTGTATTTACAACTACTTATGTAGCATTTACATTGAATTAGGTATTACAAGTAATAAGAGATGATTAAAAGTACACTAGAGGACATGTGGGAGGGTGTGCTAGATTACATGCAAACACTACACTATTTTTGTATAATGGACTTGAGAATCCCCAGATTTTGGATGCAGGGGCTCCTGGAACCAATCACCCTGTGGATACAGAGGGATGACTGTATATAGTTTAACTTTGAAATTCTTTAGCTTGACAAAAATTGAGAGAGCAAAACAAATCTACTTTTTAAAGTTATTAGCACCTTTCTTATAACATTTGTTAACCTCAAGTAACAAATTCTACTTTCAGTATTCTCTCAAATCTTATCCAGAGCTAGAAAAGTAAAAGTAAAAATTTTTTTATTATTTTATTATTTATTTTTTTAAACATTTTTTATTGAATTACAGTCATTTTACAATGTTGTAAAGTAAAAGTAAAATTTAATACTGTTTCTAATATTAACTGCCAAATCAAATTCCAAATATAGTGTTAACACAACTGGTAACATAAGATATGCAGAAAGAATAAACTCAGCTGAGTTTCCAGACCTAGGTATAATTTATTGTACTAGTTTTTATGGTCTCTCCCAATTTTCAAACTGAACTGCTCCATCAACAATTCTGTCAGAAACATCCTACAAAAATATCTTCAGAAAGACTACCATGGATTATCAAACCAGTAAGCACACATCAAATGTCAAGCAAAATCTCAATTCAACGAGTCATTGAGTTTTAAAGAAATTTTAATTTTCTGTACTTTTTAATTTCCAATTTTCTTTTATTTCAGTTTCCAGTCCTTTGGTGGGGAAGACATCATTATATAATAAACACTTTGCTACTACACTGAGGTGGCAGGTTGCACAGACAGAAATAGTACCAACAGAGCTATGAACTTTCCTTGTGCATCTTAATGGGGCGTTAACTTTAGAGCCTAGTTGTGACAATTTAAATGCTAATACTGTTAAAGCAAATAGTCCAGAACACAAACACGCCCAGCTTGAGTCAGTAAAATTTAACTAAAGCTTCATTTGAATTAGGTAGGCTACCACAGAAATCATGCTCTCTTTCTCCATCACCCTTTTGAATTTTGAAACAAAATCCCTGTACTGCTTCTTTTATTGACTGATTTTATTATTATTATTTTTTAGCAGAGTTCTCCTTTACTTTATTGTGTGGTTTTTTTTGGGGGGGAGGGTAACTAGGTTTATTTGTTTAACAGAGGTACTGGGGATTGAACCCAGGATTTCGTGCATACTAAGCATGCACTCTACCACTGATACCTTCCTCCCTCCTGTAGTGCTTCTTTTAAAGAATGACATTAATAGAGGAGAGAAAGAATGGGAAAAGTGATATGCTCCACTGGTAAGTATGTATGTCAGAATCCTAAAGTGTAAAGGTCCAAGTTAGTGCGCATGCACAAATCATACAGCATAAGAAACAATTAACTAACATGCCATTTAATATGTCTATGCCTCTAACACACAAACTGTGGTCTATAAATACCATTTTCTACTAAAAGGAACTAAGGCTCCTTAGAGAAATGGCCAGTTCCAGGTCTGGGGTAGGAAATGAACAGGATGAGTCTGGAATCAGAAATCAATGAAGGCTATCAAAGACCACTACGGTCAAGTCAAAAGGTACAAATAATTAACCTGAATAAACTTCCACTGGCCAAAGACTGGACAGTTTGAAGAAGAATAAGGATGATAACTAAATGGATTAAAACCATCAAGTATGTTTAAATCCATGGGTGCATAATGAAACTAAAAAACAAACCCAAAATAACCTCTTTGATACTAGGAACCCTCACTATTTCAAAAATTGGTAAATAAAATGAAAATTAAACCTTCAATTAAAACTTTTCTACATCATTTGTACCTAGGGTTAGTCAAACAGGTAAGTTATCTTTATTCCAAAAAAGAATGATATGGTTAGAATATCATATCACAAAACAACCACAAGTGAATTAATGGATGTAGAGACCATTAATAGCTAGTAACATTGCAAAAAAAAAAAAACAATAGATAATGCACCCAGTTATTGCCTGTACTCTGGGCAGAGGCTCCCACTGCTTCATACCCCCAACTTGGATGTACCAGTGACTACATGATCCATCAGAAGTACTCAAAACCACCTGTAAAGTAGTTTTAGGGGCAGGGGATGGTTGGGAACCAAACCTGAATTCATCTACAATCCATAGGAAATAAAAGGAATAGAGAACCATGTTAAAAAATCACCATGCGGATGCAATCAGCAAAATCCAGATTGTAGGAAACTCTACAGGGCAAACGACCCAGTTTCTCCTAAAAAAAAAAAAAACCCCAAGAAAGATGGAAGGAGAATCTATACTTAAGACTTGAGATAATCCATTGCAATCTATGGACCTTATTTGCATGTATTTGGATCTAAATTCAAAGTAAGCTTAAAAAAAAAAAGACAATTAGGGAAATGTGAAAAAGAAAAAGACTGTTTCTGATATTAAGAAATATTTAACAGTTTTTTTTTTTTGAAATCTGGCTAAAAGTTTTTCCCTATTCTTCTGAATTTAAAGAAAAGCTGCCAAAACCAATGTAGAGATAAAAAAAAGGATACAAGTTCAGCACTACGTGAATTACAGACAAAAGAAAAGGTGAAAAAAGCCTTACCCACAGCTCCAAACGTCTATTGCTGGTGTGTATCGCTCTTCTCCCAGCAGAAGTTCTGGAGGTCGGTACCACAGGGTAATGACTTTGTTTGTATAAGGGCGGCTGAAATGTAAAACATAACCATGACATAAATTTGCAATGGCTTCTTATGAAAAATACTTGTACAATTAAATGCAAATTAAAATAGCTGCCAATTGAAGATGGGATCATCAAACAGCTCCACAGCAACCTGGCAGATAAAAGTAAACTGGACAGAAGTAGTTGATGAAGAAATAACTCCCATTCCAATTTGGATTGATTTATTTCAGTCTAAGGTGGATTCAAGAATTTAGATAGAATCTACTGTCTAAAATCCAGGTGGGTAACAAATTTAGAAAATTAGGGAATTCTGACAGTTATTGCAACTTGCAGAATATAAGCATATCCAAGAATTTAAAAAATTCTTCCCTATTTCTCACATGTAGTTTTGATGAATGACTCACCTCTCTTCAGAATTATAGAGACGAGCAAGTCCAAAATCTGCTAGTTTGATCTGCCCACTGTAAAACAAAAAATAATTGTTTCCATAAATAACAGCAGCAGCCTCCAAATTACATCTAAAAAGTCAAGCGCTAATTTAGGAGTTAAAGTAATTACAAATATGAATTTTAACCTTTGCTCTTTTAGTTCTACTCTTAATGGTCACTCTCTCAGAATACATCTTTGACTACTCAAGTTTATAAAGCCTTAGGGTTTTTTTGGGGGGGGCTAATACTATATTTTTGGATTTGACTCTTTAACTAAGTATTTCTTTTATTTTTTTGGCAATCAACAGTGACTAGAATATCGTAGATTAAATACTTACTGTTGGGGCAAAAAGAATGGCTTGTTCTAGATTTAAAAGAGATTTAAGAGGCCTAACAACTTAACCCAATTCATAATCCTTGACTGATTGTGGTTTGAACAAATTAGCTATACAAAAGACATTTTTGACATAATTGAAAAAATACAAAATATGGACTGCATGTTAGAAGATAACAGGTAATAATTATTTTTGTCAGAGTATTTAGGATCAAATGTAATGATGTCTGTAATTTACTTGAAAA